ATATTATATTATCCTAAACTGATTGCGTGTCCTGTTATGATTGGTCAATCAACTGCAAATAATTGACTGATAAATCATAGGGAGTCCTTACTCTCTAACATTTATAGCAATTTGATCTCTAAACTTTCAAATTCATCCCACTTTTGTTGTCCCTTTATGAACATGGTAATTTTTATATACAATTTATTTTAATCATATATTTTACCGAATTTGAACTATTTGGGCTATCAATTTAAATTAAAGTCAACAATTATTTCGACCATATATTTTAGCAAATCCACAATTTTGTACTCACACATTCCATAACTTTTTCCTTTTTGTTAGGGTTCGTTTGAGCGCCATTATTCTCTAATAAGGCATTTTAAAATAGTAGAATGATAGAGAACGTGTAATTTAAAAATAAGAAAAAAATTTTGAATTTACGTGTAATATTATTTTATTAAAGAATATGTGATTAAAAAGAAGAGAAAAAAATGTATTTAAAAAAGAATGGAGGATTAAACAATGGTATGATTTTTATCCAAATAAAAAGGGGGCTTAATTTGATTTAAATTAATCACTATAGCAAAAAAAAAAAAATCAAATATTTTGTAATTTGTAAGATAGGGACTGTGTGAAAAATACAAGAAGTATATATTCTTAATCAAATAATTGATTGTTTAAAATGTAACGATATCACATTTTAGAAAGAAAGAGTCAATTCAATTGAGAGCTAAAAAAAATAACTCATAAGCTCTTTTTAATTTATTTTTAACTTATAACTTTTAATGATCAGCCAAATTGGATCCACCTTCATGCATTGTCGAACTAGATGGTCAATAACAACGTGACAAATTCATTATGGCGCATCAATTCGTGAATTGGCCCATTCGAATCGGGTCGACCAACTTGTATGATCCAACTTTTAGACAAGCTTCGATGGACCAGCCTATTTTGACATCACATATTTGTTCTAATAAATCTCCAAATGGTAAGTGCTCATTTTTTTTATAACTTTTGAGAAGTTAAAATGAGTTTTTGGACCTATTTAATTAATTTCAAAAAAATGTTTCCTCTAGTTAGTAGAGATTTTAGAAAAAGTTGAATCAACGACTGTTCTAAAAGATATTTCAGAAGAACATAAAAAAAAAAAAAGGTTTCGAAACACTAATTAAAGTAGTGTTGTCAAGAAATTCTTTTATAAAAAGCAAAGATAAAAGAAAATTGATATCAAATAGCCCAAATCCCCTATTTGATGGCCATTATTTGGAATTATCAATATTTTGAATAGTAAATTTTTTAAGGATATATGGTTAGAAAGTAGGAAAATGTTTTGAGGTTACGTGTATAATATTTTATTGTCTGAATGTATAACTGAAAATGAGTATATAAGAAAAAAGTTTAAAAATAAAAGATGTCAAACATGGCTAAATAAGTTGTGGAAAGACTTTTCCTCTATTCAATTGAATAATTCTTACAAAGACAAAAATAACAAACTCGGGAATTATTTATTATTATTATTATTATTTTCAAGAGAGTCACTAATTTGTACTTGAAAACCCCCCCGGTGTTAAATCACCATGCTCACGTACGCAAGTGGAAAGGATTTCCCTTCTTTGCGTGACTAATATCACAGGAAGAAAAAAATCATTAAAAATATTTCAATATAACTTTTTATAATTTCAAAAGTCGCCAACACACTTCCCTTCTCATTACGAAACGGGGAATTTATACAAATGTCACTAAAATTGAAAATGCAAAAAAAAATTTGGACATTCACCAATTTCTTTCAAGAATGTCAATTTTTCTCTACAAAATGTCCACTTTACCCTTTAACACCTTTTTGGAGCAATAAATGCTTGATTTGAATGCAATTAATGTTATGATGTGATTAATTTATTTTTGGTTTAAATTTAATATTGAAGATATGATATTATATTGTATAATAAGATTTTTTTTTATTAAAAAAGGGATGAAATCTTTACAAAATACACACACACATACGAATTGAAAGAGCTTCTTCTTCTTCATCATCTCCATTCCATCATCAATAAGGAAACAAGGAAAGCCATTGATAAATTTGAAAGGTGAGGTAGTAGAAAAAAGTTCATCTCATATCATAGTTGACTACTTTAAATGTTCAATACAATATGATCATATTTAAATGAACCATTTCAATCTCTTATTCATTGATGTAGTTAATTTTTGGTATATTTTAGAAAGAAAAATTATACCAATATTATATAGAAAATGTGAAGTATTCCATATATAATTCAACATTTAATGAAGCATTAAGTGATACCTTGTTCATTTCTAAAAAGATACAGTGATATTGTAGTTCAGAATTTATTATGGCCTTTACCATTTTCAATAAATTCGTCAAACAGTGAAGCACATGGAATTTATCCTTCTCGAAAGTTATGGCAGTAGAACTGTCGAGCAGTATCTTGGAAACTGTCGGGTTAGATATTTTAACTGTCGAACTCGACATTTACTGACTGTCGGGATAGAAAATGTAATTGTCGATTTTGACACCTGAAAACTGATCATCTTTTATATCTTTGGTAGTACAAGTATGTAAGTATTTTCGTGTGCCAATTTGATGTTATGAAATGTCGACATATGAATGTGCAGAATTCTCACTTTTGCAGTCCCAACATTTCAGGTATGAGTCATGATTTCAGATTCATCGTGTCGCATGGAGGAAACTTCGTTCACTCAGATGATGAATGGAAGTGGAGAGAGGACAAAACCACTTCCATTTTAGTGTCGAGAAGTATTACCGTAGCAGAACTTGTGTTACGATTGAAAGAGAAACTTGGTATCGTTGAATCCCGCAATGCAATCGAATTGAAGTTCAAAGTCCCGAACTTGAATCTACCTCCAGCAGAGATACGCGATGATGAGGATCTACAGTGGTACATACCTGTTCATAAGGAAACTGCACTTTGCATCACATATTTGGTATCCGAGCTCCCGATTGTTGGTATGGCAACAGATGCAAACTGTGAAGGGAACTTGTTCGGCCCAACGGAATGTCCACTGAATGTACAACATAATGAGATGAATCATCAGCACAGTGTGTCGCAAACCGAACCACCCGAACCTCCAATTGAGCGTATAGAGGCTGCAGCATTCGCCGAACACTTAGAGAACCCATTACATGGTACAGATCGTGCTATTATTGCTGAAATAGACGAGACAATGTCATCAAATTCCAGACGTTCATGCACAGATGAGTGGATTACAGCTGCAAATACATCGGTTCTCACCGAGAAGCAAATATTCTTTACCAAGAAACAGTTATACTCGAAGCTTCATGTACTTGCTTTGCAAGAGAAGTTCCAATTCCGGGTAAGCAGGTCAAGCTTGAAAATGTTAACAGTTGTCTGTGTGGATGATAATTGCAAGTGGATGCTACGTGCTTCTACTGTCAAGCAATCTGCAATCTTCATGATCCGTAAGTTCGTTGCAGTTCACACATGTTCCTTTGATTTTCGTCGTAACGCACATCGGCATGCCACTAGTGCTGTAATTGCGTAGCACATTTTGGGAAAATTGGATACTCCATACCGATCATATCCGCCTACTCATATTGCACGTGATATGGAACGTGAGTTTGGTGTGAAAATCAGTTATAGCAAAGCACATAGGGGGAAGCTCCATGCCTTAAATATGCTACATGGTACACCAAGGGACAGTTTTCAGAAATTATCTTCATACTGTCACGTCGTAGGAGAAAGTAACCCGAGGACCGTTACCCACATCGAAGTTGATTCTTATAATAGGTTTCGTTACTTCTTCGTAGCTTTTGGTGCAAGCATTCGTGGATACATGCAGTACTTGAGACCCGTTATTTGTGTTGATGGCAGTCACTTGAAAGGTCCATACAAAGGTACACTCCTAGTGGCAACTACCCAAGATGGTAACAAACAGATTTATCCATTGACATGGGAGATCGTGGATGCTGAAACCAATAAATCGTGGAAGTGGTTTTTGTCGAACTTGAAAGACCTTATAGGGGATTCCGAAGAACTCGTGTTCGTTTCAGACAGGAAAAAGAGTATTCAAAAAGCTATTTCTCAGTTGTTTCCGTCGTCTCGGCATGGTTGTTGTATATGGCATATGGAAAAGAACCTAATATAGCGGTATAACAACGCAAGCCTATTATTTCTATTCAAATGAGCTGCTACAACTTTTAGGGTCGAGGACTTCGAACGACTCATGGGACAGATTTGTAGAGTGAGCGAAAGAGCGCACGGGTACTTAGAGCGAGCGGGATATTCATTTTGGTCCAGAGCACTATTTATTGGGCACCGTTACAATATTATGACAAACAACAATGCAGAGTCGTTGAACTCGATGTTGAGAGAAGCCCGGTCGTTATCGATAACTTGCTTGGTTGAACACATTCGGAATACTATGTAGAAGTGGTTTTACGAACGTCGAGCAAATGCGGAAGAATGCAGTACCTTATTGACACCAAGGATGGAGAACGAGCTACGGACGACTTTCGAAAATGGAACTAGGCTTCGAGCCCATGTCCTGACAAACAACTTGACGCAGGTTGGAATATCCAACGACACGGACATAGTTGACTTGTCCGAAGAAACCTGCACATGTCGTGAGTTCCAACTAAATCGTATGTCATGTGTTCATGCAAGTCGTGCTGCTTGCTTTAGAGGGAAGACGTTGTATGAGCTTTGCTCCCGTTATTATTCATCGGACTACTGGAAGGGTGCCTACAACGAAACTATATATCCTGTTCCGAGGGAAGTGGATTGGGTTGTTCCGAGCTTAATTACATGTACTCCTATTTTCCTACCACTCGTACGTCGTCCTCTAGGTAGACCACCAACCCGCCGTAAGCGTTCTAGGTGTGAGTATGCATGGTCTACCAGAAAATATACCCGCTGTGGTAGAGTTGGTCATAATCGGACCACGTGTTTAAACCCCCGTGTATCACATACTCCTTAAAGATTTGCAAGTTAATAGACGTTGTATGTTAATTATTCCGTACTACATCGAACATTATGAAGTTATGATTTACAGTTTGTGATCATTAATGTTCTTGCATGTTGCGCATCCTGTTGTGCACATAAAAATTTCACTCTCTGTCCAGCACGTAGTAAACATCCCGCCCAGTTTAAATGTCGGTCCCGATAAATGTGTTACTTATTCTCGACAGTTGACGGAACTTTGCATTGCACTCACGGTCTGCGTCACACATACATGTTGTCACCTCTAAACACGAGAACGGAAAATGTTTGATACTGTACATATATTTTTTTTTCCATTTCGAAACGCAATCTTCTATCCCCCTACAGATTTACTATCATTAGCATCATCTTAAATCGAAATTAAAGGTAGTGCAAAACGCAATCTTGAATCCCGAAGAAATGTACAATCATTTGCGTCATTGTAAATCATGGATTAAAGTTAGTCCATGATACACACTTTTCACAATAGCCGTTTTACATACTGCAAAGTACATAACCATTTTTGTACATATTATCCTTACTGCCTGACAGTTGACATGTCGTACCCGACAGATAGTCTCAGTAATTCTCGACAGTTCGACCGGAAAACGCAAAAAACATGACACGAATTGCATCTTAGGGACATGTTCACGTGGACTTTTTGGTATTGTCTTAACTAAAGTCATCCCTACAAAATACCTTACTATACAGTACTTATTCACTACATTCCATGGGTGTCACTTTAGTCGTCGTCCACAACTGAACCACCGTCCCCACTATCCTCACCTGACTCGTCGGAAGAGATGATAATTACCGCATTTGGGGGATCGCACGCCATCCAGTCGCCCTCATCGTCAGAATCCCCCTCGTATCCGGCATCCAGCTCGAACTCCTCATTGAGGACTCCATTCGGTGATTGCGTACCCTCGTTGGAAACAACTTCTAAGTTGGGAAAAGGAACAGGGGAAATGGCTCCCCTCCCAATACGAGGGTTAACTTCCTCCTCATCTGACGAAATATAAATTGGAAAAAGCGGAGATGAACCAAGAACTGGCAGTGGCTCGTTCATGTTCGACGGTTTGTTGTTTCCTGTGGAAGAACTCATTGCGTGAACGTATAGTAGTACTGAAGGAATGATAAGTGTCTGTGAGAAGGTGAATGAGTGACAATGGTCTTGAAGGAACTTGTTTGTAAGTGAGAATGAAGTCCCACAGTATTTATAAGCTAATTGAAGGGGAAACAATTATGGTCTCCACTACCCAACCACCAAGTCCAATCGCCTTGTAAATTTGAAATGCACTTTGTATGATGGTTGAATAAATGAAGTGTACCTTTATCCCTCATTTCCCCATACTTAGTACAATGTTAAACACTCTTTAATCATGTGCACAATTAAGGAAATGTCCATATCTGCAACAAAAAACTACTCAATCAAATTGCTACTTTTAATTTGTCATGGTTGTAATGGTATAGTTTCTCACACGTACGGGTCATCATCGCAACACACATGAAAGACGAACAACGAAATAATTATTTTTACTCAATTAATTGATTTATGAATTACTTTTACTGTGGTTGTCATGCTCTTGACATTTGTAACGACTCATCTTCTCGTTGCATCTCATGTATGTGCTTTAATGCCTTACTTTGAGAATTTATCATAATAATATCGTCCCAGATTAAAGTTATAGTGAAGACTAGATATAATTAGAATAACAGATAAGTACATACATAGGCACACAATGAAAAATATGCGCACATACCTGCACATGTATTTAAAGCATATTATGACAGTGTTTACATCATATTATGTCCACTACATAAATTTATCAAATATAACATTCACTAAAACATTCACTATTTAACATAAGCAACACGGGTGTAAGAAGCGTAACACAAATTAAAAAATCTTAAAGACTCGAAGTATATTACTACATCTATAATAAGATTGGATCGAATATCAACAATATCAACAAAACAGTATTTACAAAGCATTTTGGGAAATTGACATGTTGCATATGCTTGTTCTCCTCCTCCAAAAGAAAATAAGCGCACACAATATGTCCAACAAAAACATATACCGAACAACAAAATGAACCTGACTGATACAATCAACAAAGTTAAAATACTAGACACAATTCATAAACACTACAACTACCGATCAGCCAAGCAACATAAAATATGAGGAATCTGTCCACGTATCACCACGGCACACAAGAGTAATTAAAATGTAATGTAAAACGAATTCAAACAAAAGTTATTTATCCAACAAGTTAACATTCGTCACCACCTCCACCAAATCGCTGACAGGGTATTACCAACTACAACACCACCGTCGTGCTGTCCCGACAGTTCATACTCCTTTTACTTCTTTGTTCGCTTCGCCGCCCTTGTATACTGAGTCCTGGTCGCAGGAGCTGGACGTCGCACCCGTGTCGAGCGCCGACTCGTCGTAGGAACTTCGTGTCCTGGTTCGGCTACACTGGCGGGAACAGGGATTTCAGCGAGATCGCCTACGAGAATTTAAAAGGAGGGGGAGTTAGTGACCATAAATGCCCTTCACGTACCATACGTAACATACAATAAGTGATGCAGAGAATGAACTTACCATCACCATTCGTAACATCGCAACCCTGTAAGTTGGCATCGTTGCTCGGGGCCGCATGTGAGGGCTCCGTGGCTCCTCCATCTGATATTACAACACATATGTAACTGCATATGTGTTCGACGTTTGTAGTTGGAAGATAATGGAAGCGTATAGGAAGAAAGAAAATGAGAAAAATAATTTCCATGTTACCGTTCAAATCCGGGACGGCAAAGATCGGCTCGATCTGTCCTCCACCTAATTGGACACCGCAATCACACCACAGGAATATGTTATTGCATTTTCATGAAGTTAGAACGGAAGTAGATGCCATCGAATATAGTAGGGAAAAATCGTAGCACATGACAACGTACCTATCTGTTTGTCGGTTGCTACGGGCAGTGGGTCGTGTACGTTGTCCAGGCGAGCCACGATGTCTTCTCCATCTGTTGATGAGAACATGAAAATTGTGTGAATACATTAGGTTTCCCAACTTCCACAACATACAAAGTCCGTCAAATAACAAGTTTCAATGCGCTCATAAATAACCCACGTACCTTGTACATGTGCAGTTCCTGTATCTGCTCGCATGTCTCGCCCGTCCGGGAAAGGCTCCATTTCTCCTCCATGTATTTCTAACTCGCAATTGTCGTATAGAAAAAAATGTGAGCTATAGGTGCATGTGCTACTGTCGAACATAGGTGAAAATTATAAACTAAACGGTTTATGTATTGAACATTCATACCTTGCGGAATACTATCTGAAACTCCAGCCTCGGTATCGACGGGCATCACGGCTGCAATGGGGGTCGGAGCAGGTGGGGCCACGAGGGTAGCAAAGAAAGCTCCGAGTTTTTTACATTTGGATGTCACGTGTTGTTCGATTTCAAGCTTGACGGTGCAGAGTCGCATTTCAAAGAGAATTCTTTGGTCGAACAACAGCTTTTCCACCTCCTCTTTGGTGACGCCTGATCCGGATGTGCCAACTGGTCGTGTCTCCATCGTCGGCCCTCGCACTGGAGAAGAAACGTGGGTCGCTGGAGGTGTGGAAGACGCATCGGTCTGCCCTCTACAAGTATCCGCACCGAAGCTGGATCGCTCACTGGCGCCCTTGCCACTCTCCTCAGTATCGGCACCTTCATCTCCAGACGCCTCATCCTTACCACTTCCTCCACTGGAGACTCCGTCATCGGATTCCTGCCTCACCAACTGGCCGCCACTTTCACTACCTCCATGTGATGCATTAAACTGCGGCCCCACAACATTCCTGGCAATCTCATCCAGCACAGGCACCGGAGGATCATCGTACGACACGAGAGTGGAGAAATACTGCTGTTCCGCCTCAGCATCGATGGGACGAAGTGTGGCATAGACATGCAACTACAATGTACAGTTATACATTAGAAACGAAAAGCTTCAGGAATGACACAAAACGTGAATAACAAAAGTAACACGTGGTATCTATACCCGCACGTTCTTGAAGAATGCATCATACGTACGATGCTGTGGTTGTTTTCGTGCGGACCACCTAAGCAATCGTGGCATTCGTTCCCCAACTCTCTGACCAAAACGTTCCCCAATCTCGGGAACTGTCTCGTACGCCCAAACCTGTTCCATCAAGACAAACAGAAATAAAATAACTGAGATGGTACGCACGATGCTACATGACGGCAAAAAAATAAAGCATGATATGCTACTATTTAAAACTTGTGTACCTGCATGGCAATGGGAAAGCCATGAATAGTGTATGTAACCTCCTTCTCTTGCCTCCTCTTCGTCTTCAGGAATTTCTTTGCCCAGAAACCCCGGAATCCATGCTGCAAACGCCGACAGCCAACTCTACCCCAAGGGTAGGCAAAAAAGATATCTAGGTTGTCGACAATAGATAGTGTACGCAAATCAATTCCGACGTTATTATCAGGGGCATTGAAAACTCCTTCGATTATTAGCACGAGCCCTAGCTTGTAGCGATCGGCTCGGGTCGTCGAAGGTCGGGCAATAGTAGTTTAGAGTTGTGCCAACGATATCTTCTCCATGGATTTGAAGTACCTCTCCTTCAGCCTTCTCCTCTCCAGCACTGGATCGAACTCATCACCCTCCGGGAATACACCGCATCTTAACCCCGTCACAAGGGTGTATTCCTGTAGACCGAATCTCATCATGTTGCCTTGCACATTGAACCAGAGCTCGTTAACTTTGTCAGTGCGAATGGTTCTGAACACGAGCTGCTGGATGAGCTGGGCAGAGAATTGAATCTCTGCAATCTCGGCCAGATACCCGAAGGGGGAGTTTCGAAACTCGTCACGCTGTCGATCATCGAAAAGGTCCATCACTGTCTTTACATACTTCAAGTTGCTCCTCTGCGAAAGTGGGCCCGCAACCTTGCCTCCTCTGGAATATAATAATCAAACTCCA